TATTTCTTCCGATTGTATTCCGATTAAGAATCAATAAACAAAGTTTTAGCCTGCATTTCAATCACGCTTTCCGATGTCTCTGCGCTTGACGTCGCCATCAGGAGAATTTTCTGAGTGGGCGGAAGGTGAAGGAGAAGCATACATGAAGCACAATACCACGGAAGATGGAGACTACGAAATTTGCATGAATGCTCCTCGCCCAGTGAAAATCAACCTCAACATTTTCTTCCACAATCCAGAAAGGATGGAGAAGTCACTAGATCGTTATCTTAAGGTACATGAAATGAAGGACAATGTAAAGGTAAGAAATGTGATACGCTTGATGTTAATGTAGGCACTTTGTGACCAAACTAGCTAGCCGAATGGTCTGGCATTAGAACACATTATAATAACGAAACTGTGTAGCGTTAGAACCAAAGTTTCACCGAAGAAAATCAATTTCTGAATAGGAGGACCTATGATTTAATTTTAAACGTCGAACATTTTCAAAGATCAGTCAAATATCGTTTGTTACAGAATTCTCTCACGGCTATCACAGAACGATTGTACACCACGCTATATTCAATCAAATTCTACAACAAGGTAAACGTACTTACCTTGCTTGCACTAAGATCTGTAGCTGTTTTTTCAGATCTCAGTACGCGATGAAGCAATGCAAAATTCAAACTCAGATTACATCAAAGGTTATGTCACACTATTCTGCATCAGCAATATCATAATTGCAATCGCACAAGTTGTTGTTGTTCGTGGCATGTTCAAAGTAGATAAATCACGAATTCGTATCTAGTCTTCGTAGACAAACATACCACTGTAGAATTATCATTCATCTCTTTCCTACCTTTACCTCCTTACCGACTTAAACACCAGTTTCTACTTATGATGTGACCAATTTCTACAATGTCCTTGACAACTTGATGATATATGCTCTGAATATAGAGTTGCAGTTCGCGTTATTGAGATTGCCGCAATCTTATCTTATAGTCTTTCTTCCTCGTACCCTTCGTATGCTGACGATTACTGATGAAAAGATTCTTGTATAGTACCTTCTTCTCTCTACAGGGTGCGCCAAAATTATTTGCGTCAACTTTGCA